CAAGAAGAAGAGCTCAGCGCCTACTGAATGCAACCCGAGCGTAGTGTCCTTGATATCAACATCATGAGGCCAATGCTCGAGGGACCGCTTTACCTCGCATCGCCCAGCATTAGTCACGCCAATCTCATCTTCCAGATCGTTCAGCCGGCTGAGCTGCTTGTACATGAAAGACACGGTGCGCATGCTGTAGATTTTCAGTAGCATGGCAGGCAGCAGGAGAGCATGGGATCTCAGACGGAGGCATGGGCGGAGGAGGTTCAACATCACGGACGCGAGAGCTGCTTCACCAAACCGTTTGGCTGACTCGACCACGTCTTCGCCGCAGAGGAAGCCATAAGTCCAACCCGTCTCACAGCAGTGACAAACAGACAGGACGCAGTCGCCCACTTCCAGTTTTCGCCGTGCTTGTATAACCACCTTGAGGTACTTGATCTTGGCGGTGCTACTGTCACGCTCTGTGAAGCGAGAGTACCCTCCGTTCGAGATAAACAAGTCCTGGGCCGTTGTGTCGCTTAAGCGGAAAGCCAGCTCAATAAGGGCAAAAGAATCTCGACTCATGTACAAATCACGGGATGCTGTTGGGCGAGAATCGACGGCATCAAGCGGTAGTTTCGACCTCTCGCACAGAAGGAGCCGAAAGCCCCCAGATTTTGTCTTTGGTGGTTGAGCCCCTGGTAGACAGGACTTTACTGCCTGTTAGCCCACTAGCCCTTCTTTCAGTGGAGTCTGGGTATGGCCAAGTGGTCTTACATTTTGCAGAACCCAACTTTGAACCTCTGCGTCTTTAAGACCACTATGCCGAAACTTTGGTGTTTCTTCATCGGTTGTTTCGATGACGCTGAGGCCACCAGAATGCTCGGGTTTCCATCGAACTTGCTCCAGAGCCGACTGGCGCTGGGCTTTAAACATGGTTTGCTAGAGAACAATCAATGCACATCAATTATAGAATTTTTTAAGGAAAATCAGGACCTCAGCACTGGGGACACCAGACCTGAGACGTATTTATCTCAGAAAAAGAAACCTCTGTGGCACAAGGCGCATTCCTTTCCCAATACCCACCGCGTGACTCTAGTGAATTGTGAACTCGCCTGTTTACCGCTTTTCTGCACTGCCCCCTTCTGTCAAGTCCGTTTAGCAAGCTCCTCTGGAACGGCAGTAGAATCTCGTCGACCTTGTCGAGCCATGCTGGGTTTTCTCTGTATCGGAAGAGAAAGCTTCGGGGAGTTTACATATGTGAACACTCTGCCATTGGCGACCCAAGGACCCATCTCTCGGCAGAATTTGGGAGCTCCAGCCAGGCCGATGGCATGGGCAATCTCGAGAGGCTAGGCATCGAGGGGCCTGGCGGTGCAAGACGTTGTTGCAGTAGTCGAGGTTCTTGCAGCGGCAAGCGGCAGAATTTGGTGCAGGGCACAGCCCGCCGGAGGCAGGTGGCTGGCTGCGAGGCAGGTTTTGGCAGGTTCATCGGCCTGGTGAGCCTTGCCCGGCCAAGCCTAGTGAGCCCGTCTCCGCCGGTTTAGGCTTCTTTATCCCGCCGACATCGAGACTGCGGGGAACCTGCGCGGGTTCACTTCACAGCGCTTGTGGTGCCATCCCCGTTCTTGAGTCCTGCTTGCTGAGAGGCCGGCCATGACATCCTTTTTGCTCGCGGCACAAACCCTGGTGTCATCTCGTCATGAGGCATTGCCATCCATGAATTGTGCCTGTGATGCCAGAAGCTGTCCAGTCTTACGTCACCGGATGCTGCAGCAACACCAGCAAAACATGACAAGCTCGTCTATGACACGCTCCATTTGGAGAGGTATGCAGTACTAATATATCCCGCAACCGACAATGGTCAAAGTTGCAGAGAACCGAGTCATCGATCTCGACCTCTTCCCAGACGATCCAAAGGGCGACAGGCTCTCGCAGCAAACCAAGTGAGTGGAGAGCGAAACCCGACTCTGATTCTGCAGATGGCTAATGGTCCGTGATATTTCAGAGCTGCAATCGCTGGCAAAATCCCCCCGGACCAAGCCCAAGGCGTCTCCTCTAATACCCAAAGCGCCGTTGCTGCTCTCGGAGGTACCGTGGGAGGCGGTGTAAAAGGACTGGTCGACACCGTTGGAAACACCGTTGGATCTCTCGGTGAGGGTGTGGTCGGGACCGTCCAGGGCGTTGGTGACGGCCTGGGCAGCACTGTACAGTTTGCTGGAGGTGCAGTAGGTGTAGGTGCAGGCAAAATAGGTGACATGTTCGCAGGCGGCAACAAGCAGGGCAGTCAAGGTGAGCACGCACCCTCCCCCTCGTACCAAGGTCCATGTGAAAGGAACAAAGGCAAAAGTACTGAACGTGTGACTGGCATCAGAGGCGAAGGAGGCCCACAAGGAGAGATTGGAGCAAGCTACAGACAAGACCAAGGAGATCGGCGGCGATGTAGAAGAATCAGTCGAGGAACACAGCAAGCAGGCCACCAACGCTGCCAAAGAGAGGGGTGAAGGCACCAAGGATGCTGTTGCTGGAATGGTGGAAGATAGCAAAGAGAAGGTGGCGGGAGTGTCTTCATCCTCGTCATGAAGAATAGCTGTTTTGTCATTTCTCGCACGGAATCCAGATACCGAAGTCTCGACTTATTGAGCAAGATATACCTGTTTCCCATTGAACCATGTTTGAAGAACCTTTGCCTGCAGCAGAAGCTCCGGCGACCATTCCACATCCAGGACCACGAAATCAGCCTTCATCCCTGCCTCTAGCCTTCCGGTGATCCTGTCCATGAAGCAACTGTATGCGGCACCTTGCGTGGCCGCCGAGAATGCGCTCAACAGAGGCAAAGCAAAGTGCTTGTTGACCACCTCTTCTGATTCCGGCTGCCTTGCCGATCTCCGGGTTGTGGCGACGTAGAGGTTTGGCAGAGGCAAATTGGGGGCCGTGGGAGCGTCAGTGCCCAACGCGAGGCTCACGCCCTCGTCGAGGAATTCTCGGTACGCGAACGCACGACCTCGCCGCGGCTCCCCCAGCAGTTTGTTCCACTGCCGCAGAATGGCGGGATCAGCATGCACCGCTTGAATCGATGCGGTGATGCCAGCCTCGCTCAGTCTTTTGGCGTCGCCCGGCGAGGTCAGCTCCAAGTGCTCAATGCGATGTCGTCGGCCACTCGAAGCAACGGTTTCGAGGGTGTCGATGGCCATTTTGATCGTCGCGTCTCCAATGGCGTGCAAAGCGCACTGCATCCCGGCGGCGTCGGCTCGTTCAACGACTCTCTTGAGCATGTCCGGGTCCCATAGCGGATCGCACGAAACTCCGTTTGACGAATATGGCTCCAGCAGGGCCGCTGTGCATGCGTCAATCACCCCGTCGCCGATGATTTTGATGCCGGCGATTCGGAAATTCGGCGATGTCTCCAGGTTATATTGCTTCCACAGGTCAATGGCCCGGTCAACCTGGCGAAAATTCCCCTCGTCTGTCTTGGACGGATATATCAGCCAGTGCGCGGCCACGCGAATACTTAGTTCCTCCTTGGACTTCAACTCAAGCAAGGTTTCCCAGGCATTCTCGTCCATGGCCATTTCCACTATCCCCGTATATCCTGAAGCGTTGTACGTCTTGATCGCTTGGCGGATTGCCGAGAGCTTCTCCTCCATCGAGGCTACCTTTGCAAGATGCGGCCACACAATGGTGATGGCAGCGGCCTCGCTGAGCAAGCCGGTGGCAGTCCCACGTTCGTCCCGTTTAATCTCTCCGCCGGGTGGATCCGGCATGTCTTGGACACCCATCTCCTTCAACGCCGCAGAATTGCACCACGTCGAATGCAAGTCCTTCGAGTCGACGAAGATGGGCCGGTCCTGCTGCTCGTCAAGCCCATCCAAATCTCGCGCTAACGCCTGTCCCCCGGTCATGAAATGCATCCAGCCACGGCATAGAATGCGACGTTTCGAAGGGTCCGCCCTCGCGGCTTCTTTGATGGTTGATTGTATGTCCGCCAGCGTCCGACAGTGCTCGAGGCTTATTTTCTGCAGCGACGTCCCGAACATTAGCAGGTGCATATGGCCGTCCATGAAGCCTGGTGCGAGAGTTTGTTTGTTATCCAGGTCGACCACTTTGGCTCCTTTTCTCGTGGCCGCCTCAACGACGGCGTCTGAACCATCGCCCACATGTTCGATCAGGTCGCCATTGATGACCATGCATGAATGCTTTCCGTACGATGAAGCGTCCTGTGAGCCAGTGAAGACTCTGGCATTCCTGAAGACCGTCCGCATCGTCGCTGTGTCGCTCCGTTGCCGCCTAATCAAGGAACCAGTATGGCCTTGGCAAGGCTATGCTCTGTCAGGGGCCAGGTAGGATTGAAATCCCCTTATGCCCGCTATAGTATCAGCTCAAGCAGTGGTGTTCCCCTTGGCGCCGTAAAATAATGTCATCTTGAATCTCGCTAGGTCTGAAGGGCGTTTTTCCTTCCATGCCAAGAGGAGGTAAATCGAACCCCAGTTCACCCCTTTTGGGGAGAAGAGTGATGCCGCCTTACTCTCAACCCAACTCGCCTATAACTCCACCAACGAAAAGCCCTAGGGGGTGCCTTTGTCTCTGCTCTGCCGGGCTCTTTCACACTACTGGTTACCTCAAGATATCTCAGCGCCCCCTTCTACTCTTAGTTTGGGCTGACTCTCTCACATGAAGTTGGGACTCGTGTGATCACACACTCATCGGAGACAATGACTCAAACCTGCACAGGCCCGAATCTTGTTGCCGCCTCCACCCTCCGAAACGTGCACAGCCCCGTCGGCATTTACGAAGAAGCTGAGGCACCACAGTTGCATTCAAGAGGGTTGTCTTGGAGTGTGGCAAAGCTCCCAGATATTTGAGGCCGACGAACCACAATGACTATTGATTGCTCTAACAACAATTGACACACTATCTACATTTCATGTGAAGTAAAATAGATGGCCCTGCATGCACCAGCAGACCGCGCCGCAGCTACATCTTAATTTCAGGAGAATAACCTGGACCTCTAGGTTAAGCGACACATTATGCCAGTTTCCACGACGATTTCGCGCCTGGAGGATGGAAAAGTCGACATCAAGACACAGAGACCTCTCCTCCGCGCCGCCAAGGTAGACGACGTGCTAGGCGTCTATGAAGCATTTTCTGATCCAGAAGTGATGCAATACTGGTAAGTCTTAGCACTGATTCCGTTTATACTTGATCTCTTCCCCCAAGCCCTCGCCATAATTGAATGCCTTCCCACTCACATCCCGTATCAATCCACAGTACCGTCCCCCACTCGCATCCCTCCACAACCCAATCCTGGCTCCGAAAGAACATGTTCCTTGCCCCGACCAACGGCACCACTGACTTTATTGTCGCCCTCCACACAGATCCCGACCACGCGATCGGTCTAATCGGCATTGATTCGTTAGAATCCCAGGAAATCGGCTTCATACTCTCACGCCAGTACTGGGGAACGGGTATCGCCCAGGAAGCACTCGACTGTATCCTTGGATATCTATTTAGACATAGACAAATGGAGATGGTGGCCGCGGAGGTAAATCCGGGGAATGGGCGATACGTGAAGTTCCTGGAGAGACGAGGTTTTGTTATAGTCGGGTTTAAGGAGAAAGTATGGGAGTGTGGTGGGTGTTGGTGGGATGCTTTCCAGTTGAGGTTGATGAAGGAGTCATGGGAGGAGAGACAACATGGACCGGAAGGGCATTAATCGTGGCTTTCAGGTGAACAAAGGTCGTCCTGGAGTGGTTGTGGGATTGAAAAAGCGGCAAAAGTACATGTTCCTGGGATTGTGCCGTGCCAAAAGGGTGAATGGGAGGTGAGTGATGTTGAAAAGCGGCGTAGGTCGGGTGAGTGTCTGAGGGCCGCTCAGTGTCGATTTACCTCGTCGCTCGGTGCTAGGATCACCCCTCCCAGTTCCATGCCACATCAGCCCCCAATTTTCTCGGTCAGTCAGAGAAAGGTAGGCCGTCGATGCTGCATAACGAGACCTAGTCTCAGGGAATCGTGCAACGCCCACATACGCCGAATCCGGAAATCGATCAAGGGAAGCAGAGTCTTAGCGCCATGTCAAACAACAGCTCTCCTGGGGTCCAAGATCTCCTAGGAAAGCACAAGGCAGCCCCCGTTCTCAACTTGAGTAAGATTTGGGGTGCTGGCTGATGGACCCAACGCTTTGCTGTCATTCTGTTTCTCCTTATCCAGTGCCCATTGCAGTGTTCGAGGGGTATCGTTGACTCGGAGGAGTCGCATAAAGATGCCCGAGTAATGTAACGGTGCAGAATGAGTCGGAACCCAATATTTCGTCCCTCCGACCCTACGATATAGGGCTAAACCACTTGCAGCTCCATACGTGTTCAACCACCCCGCAGCGCGGCTCTCTTTAAGACCATGCAGAAGCGCCAATTTCTCGGTCTCCGGTTCAGAGCCCAGAAAAGCCTCGAGGGGGCCCGAATCGAGCTTCGTACCGTGCGGACTTTGGAGGATGGCTTCGTGAACCTCGTTGCCATTTCCAGTGGAGTGTGTCCAGATGATAGCCATGACATAATTGAGCTCGTGATGGCCTAATAGTCGAATGGGGGTCAACCATAAGGGAAACGGTTCTCCCGGGTGAAGCTCATGACCGCGCCACAACTTTGCTTTCGCATCGAGACTCGAAATAGTCAAGATGGTGGTGAAGTGGTTCCACGGCCTGATGACGCCTTGAGCCTCTGGAGTGGCAATGACGGGAATGCTTGGATCGAAGAGGCGAAGTGTGGGCTCATGGACATGGTCCAAGTAATGGAAGCCGAGAAAGATGGCGTCGATGTCTTGGCCATGCCGTACATCATCGCCTTTAGGCACTTTGTCAGCAGTGATAGTCGAAGCCTCTGCGGCTGCTGCTTCTATTTGACGGGCTACGGCGGTGATGGCTTCAGGAGTGGTGAATGCTGGAGTGTTCGGGAGCATGAGATGAATGATCCACGAAGAGAACTGAGAGGTGGGACCGTTGAGCCACGGCTCAAATACAATGTGATAATAGGCTCTGCCTGTCGTTGCACGGTCGGCGCTCGGGCGGGGAAAGGAAAGAAGCCAGGAATTGTCCCCGTTGAGGGATGTTATGATGGGTCGATTTGGAGCCGGCGAGGCGAAATGCGTCTGGAGTGTCTTTTCTCGCGCTGCCTCCATTACTGAGATTGTAACTTTCTACCCTCTGGCGGGTTAGTATCGTGGGAAAGGTAGTGGGAAGAATAACGATATGGGAGGCTGTGTCGAAGTGATATGTCATTGTCCCATGAAATAGGAAGGGAAACGGGAAGAGCATCTTTTATGAACTAGACTATCCTGCTTGTCAGGCGCCCTGGGGAACCAAAGAGTGTGTGTCAAGGCGAATGGAGGTGCGCAGGATAGACAGGCGGGAAGAGAACAGTCTGAGATGCGATAGTGTTGGCGGCCTAATGGTCGCCTGTCGGCTATGACTGATGGGAGACTAGCAGAAGTTATGCCTATGGGTTTAGCCCACTAGTCCTGCGGGTGAGCGATGTGAGGCAAAGGACTGTAATGATGGTATTGGGCCGGTGTGGTAGCTCGGTGTTCTAGGTAAACGATGAGCAAGCTACGAGGTAATATGAAGGAGTGTCTGCCAGCTCAAGCAGCCGTAAACAACGACAAGCCGCTAAAGGCTCAATAGCGAAACCGCTTTAAGCTGAGCTCTAAAGTTCTCGGCTTTGGTCAACTCAAATCCATCATATCGATTTCTCCCGCACCTTCATACAAAATCTATCTAAATTATCGATGAAGGCTATATACAATAGCGAACACACAAAACAAATGAAGCATTGTTGGTGGTATTCTCGATTCTCCAATCATTGTGTGACGTGCCACAAAGGACATGCGCTGTCATCCCCGCACTTCGTGTTATACCACAGACAGTAACATCGTGGGAGATGTTATCAATTACAGGATGCCTGATCCACCGCACCCTGATGCTTGGTCTTCATCACTCTTGAGAGCATCTTCCCTGAAACTCGGGAAAACTAAATCGCAATGACCCGCGTCAGCGTCGTTCACGCACTTCCAGTGTCGCCAAACGGTAACGACGTCGTGGAATGGAGCTTCCCTCCTGGCCTGGAGTCTGGGATAACCACCTTGGCCGCCTGGTGTCGGGTCAATCAACAGCAGAGGGAGCACCTTTCTTCTTCCATCGAGGACAGTGACGAAGATCTGGACGAGGCTACTGACAACGGAGAATAATGCTCCAATCTGCTCGTTCCACCATCACTAGATGGCGACGAGGCAATTAAAAAGGACTTTCTCGACCGACTTGCGGAGCTACTTTGCTACAGGAAAGACCCTGCATTGATCACGAGCACGGCGTTAATCTACACTGAGATGGGGGCGACTATTGTGGCTGCTCGAAACTTGACCTCACGCAGGAAAACATGGTCGACCGACGATGTCAAGATGCTTGAATACTTGGCCGGAATCCTCGAGAGAGTTTCGGCTGATGGTTGGCGACGTTGTCGAAACCGGCCTCCCATGTCGATAAACTGACGTCTTGCATAGATCTTTTCGAGTCCAAGCCGCTTCCAGCGTTGCAGAGCATCTCTTGGTCGAATATTACAGTCAAAGAATTAGGCACTACGCCAAAAATGTCATGTCTATAGAAAATGGAAAACATGGGACCGAATTTCTTCAATGACGGCGGGTGTAATGCCGTTGTCTCCGGCCGTCTAGCGGTATGCCACTTTGCTAGGCATGTTGGGGCCATATCCTATAGAACCAACTCTTACACCAGACTGAAGGCCAACCTGACAGCTGATAAGCTTCGTCGCGTCGTAGAGGAATTGGCATTCATTCGAAGGCCGATACAGGTGCAGGTGCCTTTTTGCATGTCGGTCAGCAACACCCTGGCTTTCGAAACGTTAGAATCGTCTTACTCGATAGTCTCCCGGCAAGGGAAGTCAAGACATGGCCGTTGCCAAAGCAAGCGTTTTCAGTCACAGCGCAGCTAGAACCGAAATACCACGCCGAACTTAAGAAGCCCAAGAATCTCCATGCCGAGATGGTACTGATGGTCTACTTTCTTGCGTGCAGGGGTCCTTGCCCGGAAGTTTTCCCGTATCTTGAGGTCAGTAAGAAGATTTGCCTTCTTTGCGGGCACTTGCTTCGGGAATCATGCTTTTTCGAAACTCAAGCGAACCACGGGAAGTGCTATCCGCAATGGACATTTCCCCACACAATACGGACGACCCCTGAGATAGCCCAGAGACTACGGAGGGCTGTTCAGCGTCTTAGGGACATTCTTTTGGAAGGGACAAAGCGCGACCCATCTCACCGGAATGCAGAGAAGGAATCGATGATGGCGGTGCCGGTTGCGCCTAGGTATGGAACGAAGACGACACCTTTTAATAGATTGGCGGACGACCCTAGATTTATTGCAAGAGAGACCGAGTGGTTGGCCATGTCTCGGAAGCGCGACGGAGAAGCCAAGTGGTTGGGATTCGTTTGTTAGTTCGCCCTCAGTTATCCTCAATGCTAATATGGACTACCTCGACTTCTAGTAGCAATGACAAAAGCTTTGTTAAGCTCTCTGATGCACGGGATGGCGCCAGGACGCCAGAAGTTGACACTGAAGACCTCAAAGGAAAGAAAACGGACGCTACCAGTTCATCGGTTTGCGCTTTCTGCAAGGCCACCTGCGAACTCGCCCGCCTACTGCGATCTTGATTGCTACCGTTCCGACAGGCGTCGGCACAAATTTTCCTGCCGCTTGCGAAGGCCCACAGACGCCATGGATTATTTGGTGCTCGCTTGTCACGCAAACGAGTTTCCCCTCGAAGACGATGTAGCTGACAAGTAAGGGTTTAGTATTTTGCTTCGGCGCATGACCAGTGGAGGCTCTTCAAGCTTTACCGCCGGGCTTGTCGTCGACTGGAGGATTGACGAGGACGAACTGCGCAGTGCGGTAGAGCAGAACAAGCTTAAGGAGATGCTGACATTTCGATGCTCCCAAACCCAGGCCCCTTGCATGCTCAGAGACGTGCAGTGGCTCTCGAGCGCGGAGGGATTTGGCACCAGCGCCAAAGGACCTGGACTTGCCGTTATCTTCGAGGCGGCTCAGAGGGAGCTGTTAAGTCCTGACGAACAAAGGGTGCCGATTGTCGACCTTCAGCCTCCGGAAAAGCGGCAGGCGCTTGTATTCTACCTCCAGATCCGCAATGGATTCATGCCCAATGCGGATGAGGACAACTGGATCTCGTTGGGTTTTTGTACAGCTGCGGACCCCGAATCAGAACAGCGCCTCGCTTCCGCATATGGTTCGCTTGTGGAGCGATGTTCGTTTGAGGAGTTCTGAAAGGCCATGGCGGAGTCTGGGATGGTGGAATTGTTTGGGAAATATGGGCTTGCAGACTGAATCTTGCACATGGGCAATTTCAAGGACTTGATGACGATTATAAAGAAATGGCGCCAGAGCGTGTGGGAGCTCAAGCGATTCACGCGCATGAACGTGACTGATCCGTTCCGAGCCGTTGTGGCGGACTACGGATTCATGAACTGCGAGGACGCACGCGAACGAATGCAGCTTCGAGGGGTTTACCGGGAATACTTTGGACGGGGAGCAGATGAGATGAGACTCCACGAGGCATGTATTGCCGGAAACCTGGGGAGCTTCCTCGAGTCGGTCTTAGGAAGAAGCCTTGCGGTGTCCCCAAACCTTCTTCGGAATTCCTATCCCTTGGAAAACTGCCCTTATACGGGCATGGTGACGGATTCTGTTATAGAATGCCCAGAGTCTGCTTTGGATCAGGTCAAAGCTTTTAAGAGTGGTGATGAGGGGAAAGAGTCAGTGGTAATTCCAATTCCGGATGCCTGGGACGAGGCGACGACAAAATTGCTTTACGAACGTGCTGCGTTCACAGTGACAGGCTAAGAAAGCGGTACTACTCTGGACCAGGCGGCAAAGTTATCATGTCGTTGGCGTTGTAGCAAGGAAGTCTGTGGTATTGGAAGGTATGCATTCCCAGAATATAGGAGTTGCGTCGCATTTCTTTAGTACTTTGGCTGAAAAGGGAGGAAGCCGATCTCGCTATGTACCTCTCCATGATGCGAGAATAGGCGTCTGAACGTCGTTTCTGGAAAGGCAACTGCTTCTTGTGTTGCTAGAATACTGTAGTGGCGAGAGAGTGTATTCTGACTTTCGTTAACCTGGAAGGGTCCTGAGCCCCCATATCAATACATACCTGGTGTTTATTACTCAAAAGAGGGGCCATTTTTTCCCTTTCGGCGCCTCTTCGGAGCATAATATATTGTATCTTTCTTACCCACTTGGATCATTGCCCCTCGAGTTCCTTGCGGGTAAATCTGGCTAAATACCGTCGGCACTAAACCAGATCGGTGTGAGAGACCCAGGCAATGGACCGTGTAAAAGGGCCAGATATAAAATGGTGCGTTGAATGAGAGGGAAGCAGTTTCTCTTTCTTTCTCTTATTAGTTAAACACCAGAGTGAGCGAGAAAGAGGGTATCCACATCAACAAGACAAGATAAGAGAGAAAGGAGACTCTTGGGAAATGGCGCCGCAACCACTGGTCACCCACATATACACGGCGGATCCATCAGCGCATGTCTTCGAGGGCAAGATCTACGTTTATCCGTCTCATGTAAGTAAGGCGTCGCGGGTTTGCGAGGAGGTGGCAGCTGCATCAAGCCAGGAGAGAAGGCGACGGTGAGGGTGCCGACGGACAAAGGTGGTGTTGTCAGCCGCCATCCTCTGCAACGGTCGTTCCCCCTTTGCCGATGTCTCACTGACTAACACACTTCTGCCCAGGACCGCGAAACAGACATCCAGTTCAACGACAATGGCGACCAGTACGACATGGCCGACTACCACGTCCTGTCGCTCTCGGAGCCCGGCGGGCCGGTGACGGACCACGGCGTCGTGCTCAGGGCCGAAGACATCCCCTGGGTGTCGAAACAGTTGTGGGCGCCCGATGCCGCGACAAAGGACGGTAAATACTACCTGTACTTTCCCGCAAGGGACAAGGAGGGTATCTTCCGCATCGGGGTCGCCGTGGGCGATTCTCCAGCGGGCCCGTTCGTACCAGACCCGGAGCCCATCCAGGGCAGTTACAGTATTGACCCGGCGTGCTTCGTCGACGACGACGGCCAGGCATATCTCTATTTCGGCGGCATCTGGGGCGGTCAGCTGCAATGTTGGTCCTCGTCGGGCGAGGGTGGGCGTGATAAGTTCGACGCTTCCATGTCCGGCCCCCAGGAGCCGAAGGGCCACGACGTGCCCGCGCTGCTGCCCCGCGCAGCCAAGCTGTCTTCCGACATGCGCAGTTTCGCGTCCGCCGTGACGCCGCTGGAGATCCGCGACGAAAAGACCGGCGCTTTGCTCGCCGCCGACGACCACGACCGCCGCTTCTTCGAGGCTGCATGGATGCACAAGTACCGCGGCAAGTACTATTTCAGTTACTCGACCGGTGACACGCACTACCTGGTGTACGCGGTCGGCGACAGCCCACTGGGCCCTTTCACCTACGCCGGCCGCATCCTGGAGCCCGTGCTGGGCTGGACCACGCACCACAGCATCGTCGAGTTCCGCGGCAAGTGGTACCTGTTCTACCACGACTGCGAGCTCAGCAAGGGCGTCGACCACCTCCGCAGCGTCAAGATGCGCGAGATTGTCTATGATGACCAAGGCAGGATCTCGTTGGCCGAGAAGCAGTAGCGGACATGGATAAGGGTGGAGCTTGGGACGAGATGGAACTGGTCGGGATGAGATGATGAGATATGCGCCGCATGATCGCGTAAGGGTTTGGATTCAACAGAACCAAAAAGAGTTTGTTGGTCGGTTGGTGTTTTCGTTTGTAAGAGAACCAAGAATCTGGCCCCCCAAAACAGGCCCTCACAATCCTATGTAGTCAAAGGGGTATCATATCTCTCGCCTTTCTGTTATACTCATGTTTCCGGACAACGCCAATCCCCCCTCCCCCACATAGGCAACATGTATATTATGCCTCCTGTTCTCGGTACGGAAAGGATAGACGAGGAAACAGCAATTATCTCTCTATATGTGTGTGCGTGTCTAACGCTCGCTAAGACCAGGGCGATAAAAGGTCAACTCACCCACCGCTTACTTAATGACAAAGCTCAATCCACTTCTCAACCACAGCCTCCATATCCACCGCAACTCCCCACTGCGCGATGAGACAGCGGAACAGCTTCTCCATCGAGTTCAGCTCGTATAGCAGATTCCTTGAGGTTGAGGCCGCATTGAATCTCTGAAAGCTATCGCTCTCGCCGCGGATGTAGCGCGCCGTGTCGGACTCGCTCCTGCGGGCAACGTTGGGGACATTAGGAGTGGTAGTAGTGTACAACGACGAGGAGGATGGGGATGTGAATGATAGTGAGGACGACGACGGGGACGAAGAAGAAGGCAAGTATGATGAAGATAATGATGACGGCGGGTCGGTTCGGCTGCTCCTGGTATCGGACAAGAGAACGTCCTGCCAGACCACGGTGGAAGGGATTTTCAGCGCAGGTTGGCCGCCCAGCGCGAACACCGAGTAGACAGTCGCCGCGGCGAACAAGGAGCTGGGCATGTTGATGGCGTGCGCGCGGCCGCGGGGCAGCTGTTCGATGATTTCCTGGATGGCCATTGCGTGGAGCAAGGCGCTGCGCGCTGCCGAGGTCGTTACCCACGCCGCGAGATCGATGTTTGATTTCGGCCCGTGGCTGTTGCGCCAGATGTGCTGGGTGATGCCGTATTTAGCGCACAGGTTGCGGCAAAGCAGGGATGAATCGACGTTTGTGTCAAGACATATAGCATGCCAGCGCAAGAGAGTCTCGTGGCGGTCTTCCGACGACAGAGAAGGGTTGAGCCTGATGCTTTCGTAGACCTTGTTCAGCGCGGCTCGAACCTCGCCGCGGGTGGGAACTCCAACGGCCGTGCCTTCGTCCGAGTCGTCGTCGGAAATCAGGGACTGTAGGCCTTCCAGGATGACTTTGTAAGAGAATGCCGACAGCGTTGCGTCTAGCCAACTCGACTCATCTGCGGGATGGAAGAGGCGCCGGAGAATGCTCCGAAAGGACGGGGTTTGAAACGACGCTGAAGCCTGCATGTGGGATATCCATTCGTTGGCCGTTGACGCCTCGAATGCTGCTTCGTCGCTGGGCAGTGTTAGCTGGTTCGTTGCATGACGCACCGCAGTTGGCTCTCCGGACATCTGAGAGATGAGCCCGTCTAGCATATAGTGTGCCAGAAGTGCTCGCTGCTGGATCTCCCGAGCCACCCACAAGCGCCATTGATATTCCTTTTCGGAGTCGGCGGCATCCAGGGACGGCACTGACTCTAGAGGATACGGCCCACTGTCCAGCATTCCACATCGTCGAGCCCAGACAAACCCCAGAGAATGGAACGCTTGGCTCGTGGACCGAATGGCGCGATTCCTCGAGAGGGCTCCATATACCTGACTTAAGACCCCTGTAACCACCAGCTGGACGCCATCGCAAGCATCATAAGGTCCTCGATGGGTAATCAAACTCTGCCATGACGTTGCGATTGCGGTGTGGGCAAGATGCCACAGCGCTTCACCCTTCGCCACAGCATCCTTGGGTCCTAGATATAGAGAACCGATGGCGATGGCGTTAAGAAGCAGTGGATGGGCGCAGTCCCGAAAAACGAAAGTGGCTCTGTGAAGGACGGGGAACGTGGGGATGAATTTGACGAAGAACATGTGCAGGCATTCATCGAGGAAGACTGATGTGATAGAGTTAGACCTTGCCGCGGCGGTGACGCTGGACGACTGCACTGCATTAGAGTGAGATACCTGTTGGGGAAAATTGAAGGGGCTTACGACGTTCGAAACCATCTTACTGACATCCTGGACTGCTTGATGATTTCCTCCGGAAGGTATAGCTCCTATTGATCCAGGCCGGTGATCGAAGGAGCTTGGAGTCTCAAAGGGCACATAGTTTGTGGAAGGCGTGGCAGAGAATGGCAGGGTCCCTAGGGGGATTTGCCATTGATTGGCAGCGTCTGTGGACATCAGTGTCTGTAACAAGTCTTCAGAGTCCGGCCAGATGAGCTCGAAATCCAAGTCGCCCGCAGACTGTGGGAGTTCCGTTGCAAGTGGTACGGGAGGAAAGCCCAGGACATCGGGTGCCACAGCAGAGAAGCCGTCGGCCACTTCGCTGTTTCTGAGGCTCTCTGGGGTCACCGGCTTGTCGACGGACCCTGTGGGTGAAGAAGCATCATCTGCATTCCTGCGACGCAGATGTAATTTTTCATGCCGCGCGAGTGAATCTTGTCGGCTGAAGGATCGCTTGCATTCTTTACATTGATACGGTTTGGCCCCCGTGTCTGTCAGTCACCACCCGGCAAGTTAGTTTCCACTCCTTCTCACTGAGTTGTTGACATGATTCACTTACGACTTCGTTCATGTCTCTGTCGAGGGTCAGCAACCTAACTGTTTCGAATGACTTTGAGGCCTGAACCTTACTCTCAGATGTTCTCCTTTGGAGAAGCCTTTTTGACAGAATCTGCATTGCATGGCCCCTCGGCCTGAACTTTTCGACAACATCCTTTCCCTGCTGACTGACTGTGGAATGCGGACAGTGGATAGAAAGGGGGATTGCAAGAGGATTCTGTGGGGATATGAGGAGAGACGGCGTGGAATTGATCTTCAAGTAGAGCTGGACCTGTGGTTTTCTCCTCGCGGCTTCTAGGCTCCGGACAAGAGGGCGCCGATGTCTCCGCCGAATTCTCCCTGGTCTGTGGGGATCATCAAGGGTCAGAACAGGCTCGCAGGATCGGGAGGTGGATGAGGCTTGGCCAGGTAGGATTGTCGGGATCAGCCATCCGAGTGGGCTGGCAGATTGGGGCCTAGTTGGAAGGGATACAAAATGGATGCCCGAGATCAGTCGTA